AAGCACAGTTCTACTCAGCACACGTTTGCCGGGTCGCCATGAGTCGGCACCGACATGACAGCACCCAGTCCTAATAAAAGTACAACTCATGAATGACGAGGAAGAAGAGCATTCTGCATACACACAGATTACGGACATGCCAAGTGCAATCAATAAGATGACCCATGTAGAGCAACTGACACGCACATCGCCTCCTCCACTGCAGAGAAGGGGGCTTGTCAGCCCCATGTCTGTTCAACAAGCATCTCTCTCCAGAGAACCGCCTCACCTGAGAATTGAAATCGGTGTCAGGTGATCTGACCCACCCTGATGACACTTGGAGGACCCACGCTGTTTCTGGTGGGGGGTGGTCATGGGACTCACTGGACTGGTGGGTCCAAACCAAACCAAGCAGCGGTTCTGAGGGTCAGCCTGACCACTGTTTCACCATCTTGGAGGAGGGTCAGTCTGCCTAGACTGCTGGGTGGGGAGAGCGAGCGGTCCATACGCTGCAGGAGGCGGCGCTGTGACAGCCCGGGCACCCCGTGCGCCCTCTGAGGTTGTCTCCAGTTTCGGGTCTTCATTCATGGCCTTCCTCAATCTTACTCCTTTCAGTTCCCCATCTTCAAAAGTGCCCAGAGCACTTCACTTGTGACCTATTCAGCCCATCACCACTGTTCTCAAGGCCCCACGATGACCTATGTCCTTCTACCAGCTCAATGACCATTCACTGACTGGCTGCACGGTCTCCCCTAGGCTCCCTTGAAACCTAGCCTCTGCTCTAATAATTCACTAAAACTGCTCCAGCTGACGTCACCCATGACCATGGTTTGGTCAAACATCGTAACAGCCACTTCTGTTGTTATTTTTTAATATCCTTCCCCCACCCCATCTCAAAACTTGCAACATCCGACCGCTTCAGTTGATTTCCCTGGCGCACTTTCTTAGGCCCTGTGATTCGTTCATGGCTAACCGTGAGCACAGCTGCCATCTCACCGCGCATCTTCCCGCCCACCTGCAGCATGCCTTAGGACAAATACCGGCTGATACTGCTCCCTGCTTCCTCACCACTCACACCTCATCTGGTCAACAAATCTTCCAGTGGACCTTTGTCACCCTCCTGCTCATCCCACATGGCTTCATGTGAAAACACTCAGTCCCTTGGGGCTTTCTGTGGTACAAACCAAGGTCCACAAGGCAAATTTTCAGGATTCGTAATTGCATCTCCAACTAATTTTTCTTTACAGTTAATTATATATTAACTGGATAAGCAGCTCTGGGAGATTTCCCCCACACATGTCTCCTCTTAGGAGACAACTGCCTATTAGGAAAATGTATCCAAGCTTTTCCCTAGCTTTCATGGCAGCACAATAATGCTCTGAGAGGATGAAATGGGATTTTTAAAAAATTAACTCTTCTGAGAAGCCTCATTTTATATTTACCAGACATTTTGGAAATGCTTAATGTCATTTAAAATCTCAAGATACAATATGAATTGATTAACAACGAGAACAAAATACATCTTGTGGTTTTAAGTAGCAATTACACTCGTCCATCTTTCTTCAGGAATTTGGTTTAGAGAATCCTTCTCAGAAACACGAGATGGGGATACATTTTAATTAGCACCACTCACCCATGACTTCAGATAAAAACAAACATGGGCACATGCAAGGAACATTCGCCATCTGACCTCCAGTCTTTCAACCATGATGTGGTGTGCTTTGTCCACTGAGATCTAGACCGTTTTCACCCACATCCTGATGAACGCCATCAAAGTGCCGGTGGTGATGGGCAGCTTCTGATGAGGCTTCCAACCAAGGGCGCATAGAGCTTCTTCTCAAGCGCAGCAAAGCCCATCACTACCGCCGAGTGTGGCATGGGCACGAGCTTTGACATTCTCAGAGCCCCGCCTCTAAAAACGAGAACTTTGAAGTCTCTTACTTTGGCCACTGAGAACTCAACCTGCTTGAACGCAAGGACATTTATGCATGCCTTCCCAAAAGAGTCCCGTACCTTCCCAAAGAGATTTCAACAATGCCATGTACCTAACAATTCATTTCTAAAGCCAGTTAGAAGTGTAAGATTAATGGTCTCCCACCATCAGCTGCTTGCTGGGAGCAGTGGTGAAGTTGGAAGGGCTCCACCTCAATGAAGGAGAGGGTCTCAGCTGAGCATCATGGAACCCGATTAAACACAACACTAACCTCTGCAGACAGCACAAGTGGGACAGGCAGGCGGAGGGCTCTTCTCGACACCCTTCTTTATTACTGCACTCCTTCAGGAATTTCTGAAGATCCGTTTCAGGAAACCCATTCTGTTGGTATTTCTTTAAAAAAAGAAGACGAGTACACAATGTTGGTACCTTCTAGAGAACACAGGAAACTGCTCCCTCTGTTAATAAACAAGACTCACCTTTGCTGACAGAAAACCCTCCCACATGGCTACCCCAGATCCAAGAACTGATATGAACCATGATGAATCAACCTATCCATTCCAGAACACCAACCCAGGGCCACCGTGAGCGAGAGAACAATCCAAAGGAAAGCCAGGAAGCCAGCGTGGAGCTTGGCTGGGAAGGAGTTTGCCATTAAGGGGAATGAATGAAGTCCTCACCCGAAGTCCAAGGTTCGGAATCCATTACAAGCCCAGATAAGACCTCCCCCCTCCTCACACAGTCAATGCACACCCTATCGGATAATTTATAATTCCATTAAGGGGTCACAAGGGGGTGGGGTGGAGGAGCTGATACCAAGGGCTCAAATAGAAAGTAAATGTTTAGAAAATGATGATGGCAACATATGTACAAACGTGCTTGATACTATTGATATATGGATTGCTATAAGAGCTGTAAGAGCCCCCAATAAAAGGATCTTTTAAAAAAAAGTAATCTCTCTATCATCCACTTCTAAATTAGTTTGCAATTAACCTATTTCCCTTTCCCCCCCTCTCCAAACCACTTCATCCTGATTTGGGGTAATATGGACAATGCCCTACATGCATATTTAAAAGCTAATCTCTGGCACCTCAGAATTTTTTTTTTTTTTTACAAATGCTCAAAATCTAAGTACAGATGTAGTATTGTCCTATGTCACAATCTATATAGTATTTGCAGCGGTTATGGATAATTATTTACCTTAATGGTGTCATATGAATCTGTAATAAGTGCAATAAAAAGGCTGAGAATCATGTATATGAAGAGGCTGATGAAAGAATATAAGTAGAGGCGGCTGAACAACCACACCAAGATGCTCTTCTGCTGGATTTGAGCAAAGGTAGCAAACATGTCATCACCGTTGACCAGAGAAAACAGACACTCGGCCACCGTGCCCAGATCTTCAAACTGCAGGAGAGAAACAAACGTTAGTTAGGCTGAGCTGATACTGCTAAAGAGCAGAGAGGGATCTGGTTAGCTTGTTTTGTGGAAGTCGTTATTACTACTACTAACAGGCATTTATTTCAAGACATCTAGAATTGAGCAAATGGTGTGGCACATCTCACCTTCCCTGATTTGACAAGGGGAGAGAAGAATCCAATTCCACATCTGCTCAAAGATGAGTCCACTGAGGTAGAGGTCGCACGTGCCTCTACTCGCCAGCCTTCTTGACATTATTCTGACACCAACTGGTCCTCCCATGACCCTCTTACTTCTCTACTGGCTTTGATAATCCATTGCAATGGCCACACAGAATTCACAAGGGCTCTACACATCCGGATCAGAAATATTAAGGTTACAGTTCTTTTGTCTATAGTGTTTTTCTCCCCACCCCCACCAAGCCAGCTGGCCTATCTCGCTCTCTGGTCCTTGGCCCCAGCCATGCGGCCCCTTGGCCTCTGTCCTGCTCAGGCAAGTGTTACAAAGCTCCTTTATCAAACCAAACCAAACCGACTGCAAGCAAGTTGATTCTAATTAATAGCAACCCTACATAGTGTTTCTGCGAAGGAGCCTGGTGGCGTGGTGGTTATGAGTTGGGATACTAATTGAAACATCAGCAGTTCGATACCACCAGCCGGTCCCTGGGAGAAAAGTGGGTCTTTCTACTCCCATAGAGAGTTATAGTCTGGGAAACTCACTGGGGCAGTCCAGCCCTGTCTCGATGGCAGTGAGTATACAAGGGTTTCTGAGGCTGTCGATCTTTGGGGAAACAGAGAGCTGTATCTTTCTCCTACGGAGTAGCTGATGGGCTAGAACCTCGGACCGTAGTCACTAACTCAATGCTTCTCCAACACTGCCACCAGAATTTCCTTAGTGCTGAAAAATGCCTCCTGCCCAAAGGCACCCCGCTCTCCTCCTTCCTTGGGGTGGGAGGCCTGCCCCTCTGCCCCAAGGACTGTTAGTGACCAGCCTCCATGCTCAGATGGGCTCCGCTTCTGATTCTTCTCTTCTGAGGGTCAAGGGATTCTCCACTCCTGCTTGTGCAGCGGCTCCACGTAGACCCAGTGGAATGGCACAGTGATTAATCCCCTCCGATTAGTCCTATACACCCCAGTTGGCTGCCCCACCTAGACATTCAGCGGGAGTTCTATCCAAAGCTATGGATAGAAGAAGAGCCAAATACAGCCAGTTCACTTCATCGCAAGAATCCCGCCGAATAGGGAACATCGCTAAAAAACAAAACAAAAACGGAAAACCCTCCCCACTCTCAAAGACAAGTCTCTTGACCTTCCCTTCAGTGTTTTATTTGTGATTCTTGTGACCTGGGGGCAGGGGGTTGACCGAGCAGGTTGGTCTAGCATTCCAGGTCGCTTTTGCTGTGACATTGACCGTGGACCCCGCAGTGGGACATCGCTCTCCCTGCACTTCCCCTTTTCACCTGCCTTCTTTCGGATCCCTGCCTTCGGGCAAATGCTTTCCTGTGGTTTTCCTGTGGGTGCTTATTCTGAGGGGTGTGTCCCCCCTCCAGTCCTTTTCAGCCTATCCTCTGGCTGAAAGTGGACCCACAGAGGGTCTGTGTACTTTTTAGTATACCTGTGGCCTTATCACCTTACATGTTGGGGTCCTGGTTACTTCTGTACTTAATGCAAGCATCTTCTCAAATGCCAAATTCGATCATGTCCCTGTTACTGGACACACTAATAGCATTTGCTATTCTAAGCATCAATGTCATGAACATCTCTAAGTATAATGATATTTTTTTGCTACTGTTCAGTGTAAGGTGATTAACGTTAAAGCTCTTTCTTCCAAACTGATTTCTGAAAGAACCGGAACCGCTGTCTGCTACAACCAAAAGTGCCGTACAGGAGGGCGCAATACCACCAGAAGCACAGCCACGTCCACCCAAAACACGCAGCAGGCGCTTCGGAAACTCTCTAAGGCCAAAGGCTTAAAACGCCAGAGAAACATGAAAAGCTTCCCAGAGAGCAACAGTAACGGAGAGAGAAAAGAAAACAGTCTTCCGGAGACAAAGAACGGATGCCGAGACTGTGGAGTTTTGAACTGAACCTGCTCTGGGGGTGGGGAGCCTGCTTCCACGAAGGGAAGGACACTCCTGGTGGAAAGTCTGTGCACCCTTCAGTTGGCATGGACCACTTCACAGGCAACTGAGTAAAATGTCCCCCCAACCCAGCCCCCAAATGGGCTTACTTGTAAATTTTACTGGTATGCCCAAGACTGCCCCTTCCTACCAAGGACAGACTTTATTTCAAATAATGAAGTACCCCAAATTGCACGTCAATCCAGCTAAGTCCCCCTTCTCTTCCATCGTTGAAGGCCTGGCTGCTCTTACGATGCCTTCCTTCCGCTCGGCTGGGATGGATCGCGCTGACCGCACACCTAGGAAGACCTCTTCCTCCCACCACCCCTGGCTCCGAGCTGGTCATGTCTCTTGCTCCAGACCCCGCAGAGGTGGGGGTCAAAGTCTGGAGCACACAGGCAAGGGCCCAAACCCACTGCGCTCTGATTCCAGTGGACTCTGACGCCCAGCAAGCCTGTCAGACAGAGCAGAGTGGTCCCAAAGGGATTCTAAACTGGTCATTTCACGCAAGGTTGCCAGGGTTCTGTTTAGGGCTTTTTGACCCCGGTAGAGCAGGTGGTGGGTCAGCAGCAGAGCGCTTCCCCGCGGTACCTCCAGCGCTCACCGGGCTGGGGTTAGCTTTCTCTTCTTTCCATGGAGTCCTCAACATTAGCCCCCTGGGCACTCCTCCCAGAACCCCAGCCTCATTTCCTCCGGCAGTCCTTGCTCTTCTGTGCCCACATCAAGGCAGCGGCAGGGGCTATTTCTAATTCCATTACAAGGCTCGCTGGCCCAGCACATCTCTGATCCCCACAGGGCTCAGGGCCCCAGAGCACAGGGCTAGTTGGTCTCCACAGCCAGACATCCTGTTTGGTAACGAGGGAAGCCCTCCCATGTGATGGCGTGACCCTACAGCTGCGCCAATACACCAACTCAAACACACCCAGGGCCATGAAGACCAGCAGGGCCTGGCAGTATTGCATTCTGCTCCACGCGGGCCGCCATGCGCTGGGCGTGACAGGCACGAACAACATACTCCCACCAGGTAGCAAAGCGCACGCATCATACTCCCTGCCCCGGCTGAGCAGGGCAGGGTAAGGTTTGTGGCACAGCGAGAGGGGACACCAGTCTGATCAACTAAAGCTGGTCTCCACAGAGGTCTGCAAAGAAGACCCGAAGCACAGGCCTTTCCAGAGCACTTCCTGTCCCCTAGGGTCACCTCAGGGCATGGAAGTTAAAATCCGATTTCCAGGGATGTCAATTACCACGCTGAGAGCATCATTAATAACTCATATTTCTCATAATGCCTTCTGGAATCTGGTCGATTCCTTCTCTGAGTTTCCGTAATCCCGAATCGACTGGGCTTCCCGTTTCAGAACTACAAATGGCCAGTCTTTATCAAATTCAGCCCTTCCCTCCTCTGTGTAGTTACTTAGTATCAGCATTCACAAAATACCTCTCTCACCATTAAGGACTCACCCACGATCACATCAATTTTACCTCACCCCCCAGGGCCCTTGGTGGTGTAGATTAGGTGTTTCCGCTGCTAACGGCAAGGTCAGCAGTTCGAAACTACCAAGAATGCTCCACAGGAGAAAGATGGGGCTTTCTACTCTCCTAAGATTTCGTCTTGGAGACCCCCGGGGCAGTGCTGCCCTGCTCCGTGCGGTCGTGTGAGTCAGAATCCACGCGATGGCAGCGAGCTTTGAGTTCCTCCTTTCTCAGGGAGTCCTCGTAATTTGTCACATGCAGTGTACAGACCCAGCGAGTGAAATGACTGGTGCACACAGTGAATCTGAGGTATCTGTAGCCAAATTCCATTACTAGAGGTAAGCTTAAGAAGTACTTAAAGGAGAAATGACGTCTTAGTGTGCCTAGAAGGGCTGCTTTTACAGGGACTTGGTTCTGTTCCGCTGAGATTGTAAAGCCTGTTGGAAGTAGGTACTTGGCTTCTTGTTCATTGACCAACCTACGACGTTCTATGTACCAGGCTAGACTAGGTTGACAAGGAGGAACAAGCCATAGTCTCTGTCCTCTAAGAATGTGTTCTCAAAGAACCTGACAATGTTTGGTGCACAGGAGCCCTGGTGGTGTAGTGGTTACTGCTGTGTTGGACTGCTAACAACTGTAAGGTTAGCAGTTCGAAGCCTCTCCAAGAGAGAAAGATGGAACTTTCTACTCCTATAAGGAGATATCGTCTTGGAAACTTACAGGGGCAGTTAGATCCTGTCCTGTAAGGTCGCTGAGTCAGCATTGTCTCAATTGCAGTAAGTCGTAGAAAGTGAGGCATTTAGTAAGCATGAAATGGGTATTTCTGTTCAAAGTCATCATAGGTCCTGTAGCGTCACAGTGATAACACACACATTCATATCACAATTGAGCACAAACCACGACTGCTTCAAGAAGTGTTGGTAAATGCCTCATGTAACACTCTTGCCAGATGTTTGGATAGGCTGGCAGTTCATATTAATCAGAGAGCTCCTCGGGGAAATAAAACAGAGGCATGAAGTTGTAGCATAGGCTCTGCTTCACCATGGTGCCACCAAAGTCCAACTGTTTTCAATGCTTCAGCCTACACGTTTGTAAAATTGGGATTAGACAATTCTATAATATATCCCCATCACTAGGAGGTGGGGGTCCACTGGAAGCCTAAAAGCTGCATTAGCTAATGTTTAATAATTCAAGATGAGGTTTGGAAGGACATCAATGGTCTTTAGGCTTCTGTGCCAAAGTCCATTAGTGCTACAGTGGATGTCAACAGGACACCTCACGAATCATTGTTCCGGCTCCGCTCGCCACAGAAACAAGATGTCCAACAGGAAAACAAGAAGCCAAAAAGTTGTGGCACCTTCCTGCTGCCAATCAATGATAAAATCCTCAGTTTCACAGTTCTCCTGAAACTTTCTGCTTGGAGCTGCAAGGATCCTCACGCCCCTAGAAAACGCTTGCTGCAGCACTCCGATTCGTAAAGGGGGTGGGGGGGGAGGCCCTCTGGTTCGATACTGGCAGAGCCTGAAAGTTCTGACAGCGGTGGATTGGAATTGTGGGGCTTCCCTAGGGAAGTAACATTTTCTAACTTCGATTCAATCAGGAGCAAATGGCGAAGAAAAGCACATGATTGCAGAAGCAGATGGAAGGCCTTCCCCCAGCATGACCTAGGGTAGCCCCTGAATTCTAAATTCCATCGTGCATTTCCCCAACACTTCCATCGAGCTGGGGTCAGGAGTCGATGCCACAAACAGACCCGCTGGGCAGTCTCTGGACATATCGTTGCCGTTTTACTCCTCTGGGGGGGCGGGTGTCAATGGGACACTGGCAGCATTAAATGACAGAAGTCTGGAGGGACAGCCTTCAATATGGGGCCATGCAGAGCAACCGAGCGCTTACAACCTGAAAAGTGGTAGTTGGAATTGAGGTGTGCTGTAATCGTAAAACACACAGGTTTCAAACTTAATACAGAAGGAAAAGAACACAAAATAAACCAACATTTTATATTGATTGAATTCCAAAATCGTTTGCATGTATGTGCTAAATAAAATACATTGCAATCTATTTTATCAATCATTTTTAAACATCTCCTTACTCTGGCTAATAGAACAACATAAAGACCAGGCCTGACTCTCATGAGATCTTCATTGGACAATGATTGCCCAGAGCTGCCCAGCACCATCTGGATCCTTTGAACGGGCAGAAATGACATAAGGGAATGTGCTCGGATGCACAGGGCAGATCACGCTCACCCTCCAGGAGACCAACGGACCATTCAGAGAAAGACTGATTTTATGGCTCTCCCTCAGAGTTGATCAAAAAGCACTACCATGCTGCTCAGTCAAAGTAAATGCCCATGGGCAATGGCGCCCATTTTGGCTAATAGCGCCAAGAAAAACTCAAGAGGCGACTGGCCAAAGCATGTGCAAGAGGCCTGGGCTCAAACTTCCTCCCTGCCATGTATTGGCCATGTGGCCCCAGAAAAGGACTTAGCACAGGTAGGTGATGCAGGGTTGGCGTGCTTTCGTGCAGCTGCTGTCAGTACGCCTAGCAAGGAAAGTAAAGGGCGTGGCTCTGCCCTTGCTACAGCACTTGAGAATGGTAGCTGTCTTGGGAAAATTTAAGCAGTATTAGATGAGCTCCTTTCTAGAAAAATGACGGGGTCAGGGAGATAAAGGGCAAAGGAGACTGCACCACCTGTCCCCCAGGTCTTAAGGCCAGTTCCTAAGCTTCTTAAGCTCTGCATTTCCCACACGGTGCAACACTGCCCTCTAGTGACAACAATGTGGAGATGCTTCCAGAGCACGAGGCAAGTAAGAAAGCAGAATTTTCTAGGCAGATCAGAGAACAATTTTCACTCATGAGTCACTTTTAAGGCAGTGATATGACATGGGAAGAGCAATAAGATAATTATGATCTTATTGTATTATCATCCCAGAGGTTGTCACTCTGTTCGCGGCACAGTTCCTTTGGCAGGAGAAACAGTAGTGATTCGCACTGAAAGGGAGCCGACCCTGAATGTGCAGGTCAGGAGGCTGGATTGTGGTGGGGCAGTACAGAAAGTGTGAGCTTTGTGGCTTGCTTATTCTTCGTGAATAATTTGCAAACCAGATTCGATGACCTATGTTTTGGTAAATCCAATGATCGGGGTCAAAAATAAGGCCAAGATGTTCTGTCGGTTGGAAGGAATCGCAGTGATTGCATTACCAATCAAACGGATCACTTTTGAACCAGAACATTGGAGCCTGACTGTGCGCTCCCTGAGATACTGCTTCTGGTGGGAGCTCGGTTACTGTTTAGATTTCAGATACTGATCTTTAATAATGTGCAGAAATGACGCTGTAATCAAACCCACCAATACACAAGGCACCTTATCACTTCAGCAGGAAATCTAATATATTTCTCCCAAGCAGAGCCTTTGCCCAGCTTTATTTTCTCCAGTTAACTTGGAATGTAAGGGGGTGGGCATAACACGAAACACCCAACCACCTAACCCTTTGCACCAGCAGAATGAATGCCCTCATTTAATTTTCAATTTTACTATAATGATCTCATGCCCAAGCATTTCTCAGTTGATGTCTCTTGTCAACGACAAGTCTGAACTGTGCTCTCTGGTTCCCAGCAACTCCTGCTTCAAGATCCTGAAATCTCTCCAACACCCTGAAAAGCAAAGGGAGACCAATGCAGAGCCACGAGTTTACTAACATCACCGCTGTGTGCGGGAGGACAGGGGAGGGGGTGCTGAAGCCCCTGTTTAAGGGTCCCGAGAGCCCTGGTGACGCTGTGAGATAAGCTATGGGCTGTTAACCAGGAAACGTCCATGGTTTAAACCCACCAGCTGCTCTGCAGAGAAAGATGAGGCTGTTTGTTCCTGTCAAGACTCCCCGCCTCAGAAGCCCCGGGGAGCATGTCTACTGAAGAGGCGGCAGTGTACGGAAAGAAGTGTTACTACTCACCTTGTCATGATAAGGCCCTAAGACAATCCAGCCACAGAATGTGTAGCCCAGGTAAATCATCCCAGCGCAAGCGCAAAACCGGAGAACCTTCGGCAGTGAGGCCTGCATGGTTAAAATGAGCACCTGAAAAAAACAAAACCCACCAGATTTGAGGGGCTTGGAAAAGTCCCCCAAATGTGGCCCACTCCCAGCAGCCCTGCCCACTCCCACAGCCTTACGTTGTATGTTTGGAAATAGCCCAGGTATCTGATAACGCCAACCCAGACAAACAGTGTGGATGTCCCCAGCAATATGCTGCAGAGGTCGTAGTTTGTGAGATTCTAAGGAATGAAGAGAAAAATATACATGTAGGTGAGTAAAATAGTCTATCCCATGCAGCTTTATTCAAGTAAATAATTGTTTACAGCATAAGTTCCAAAACATATTTGGCCTACCGCTTGGCCCTTTAAAAAAAAATTCCTCAGTGCCTTCCTGGTAATTAAAAATGTTTTGCTATAGCCCCTAATCCAAGATAAGGTGTAGGTATCTGCTTCTGCAGCTCCCTGTATAGCTTCAGCACCCCCAGAGGGCAGTATTGCCCATTTTGGGAAACACTAGTTTATGCATCAGTAGAATTAGCTGTACTTCAAACAGATTGGGGAAGAATGGGTCCTGCCTTCCTGTAAGTGGTACTCAGAAAAGGAGAGATAAAGGGTTCACTTCCAGGAGTTTCCCATGTCTGTTTAATATCTCAAATAGTCGAACCAGTTTCTTCTTAAAAATAATATCCTGGAATAGGGACATTGCCTCTACTATCAAATGAGGCCCTAGAGAGTATATTGGTGCTTATTAAACACCAATCACACAACCCAGCTATTTTTGTAGGAAATCTTAGACATGATATGTTATCACGTCTAGTTGAAGAGGCAACCAGGGTACCATTCTTCTGATACAATGAGACACAAAGCCACGCTGTTCAGAGGGGTTCTCACAAAAGTGGCCCCAGGGCAGGGCCAGGCCCCCCTGAGGACAGGCTGAGAAAGGGCTGAGAAAGGGCACTGCAGGAAGTGGATTGCTGACTGAAGGCACAGTGCTGGGTAAAGGAGGAGCCAGATTCCAACTGTCAGGAGACAAAACCAATAAATGTAAACAAAGCATTGAGCAGCATCCTGTAGGCTCTCGCCCTTTCTTCCTCTCCATTTGGCAAGCCAAACCCTCCGACTGTTGCCATTAACTCTGGGCATACAGACTTGTCACTGGTCACCGCGACTGGCTCTCGGGGAACTGCTCGGTCCATAACTGAAAAATGCCAGAGCAGCAGCCAAAATAACCCATCTTGTCCAACGTCAGTTACGCGTAGGAGCTGCTGCCAAGAGTCCTCCAGGCTTACTATGGACGCCTTGCACCTGCCCTCAAATACCTGTTGAGGTCCTGTTAAGTACAGATGTGACCTCAGTTAGAAATCGGGGTTTCTTTTGTTGTGTTAAATAAGCCACACCAGGATAGAATGGGTCCTAAACCTAATCGCTGCTGAGTTATTACAAGACTGGAATAAACAGACACACACGGGGAATGCAGACACCAGGTGAGGGTCATTGATAAGCAAGTGAAGCAAGGAGTGCCCCTGGCTACCCACGAAGACTCAAAGGAGATTTCGATTTGTGAGAAACGAACTTTCTGTTCTTTAATGTCTCTAAAAGATGACAGTTGTATGACTATGAGACTTCATTTGCTTAAGTGACACTATTAAACATTTTTTTTGGTCCAGGGCTTTTTAAGCTGCTTCATATTGAAAGTTGGAATACTGTAAAAATTTTGTCAAAGATGTACTGTGGTGCTATTTGAGTACCTGTAACAAGATACTTAATTACCTTTATTATTATTACAAACTTCTTGTGGAAACTTTATAGGAATGAAAATAAACTGTACACATATTGTGAAGACTAAAATTATGTATTAAATAAGTGTTGCATGATAGAACTGTTACTATTGTTGAATCAATTACTCTGGGTTTTGAAAACTTAAACTTCATAAACGTATTTGAAGAGAGCAAGTAGAATGTTGTTTGAGTGCTTCCGGTCATCGCATGATTATTTACGAAAGTCGCTGGATTGGGTGAGTTAGTGGAATTATTGCTTCATGTTTTCTACTGGAATTTGCTTACCATTTTATGATTCAAATGTGTCTGTGTTAAAGGGAACCATAGATGGTGGTTAAATTTTTGAAAATTTTAAATTTCAAATATTTAAAAAAAATAAAATTTCAAGTTACAGTGAACCCTCGCCACTTCGCACTTCAACTTCTGCGGCTTCACTCTATCGCGGTTTTTGCATAACAGCGCATGCTCTGTCATTACTGCCACTGATTGGCTCATACTATACATGCTTGATGCCATAAATAATAAATGATAAATGATAATTGTAACGTCCAAAATGTTTTACTGTATTTTCCCTTTTTCGTTTAATAAATTGGGTAATACGAGTGTAATGGTGACTAAAGAGTGTTTTTTCATATCCTCTATGCTCTAACTACAAAAATATTTGACTACAAATAAGGAATCCTACTTCGCGGAATTTCATTTATCACGGTAGGGTCTAGGACCGATTAACCGCGATAAATGAGGGTTCACTGTATACAAAAACAGAAAAAAACGATTACAGCCTTCAGAATGGATTACAGCTAGTGTTTGGGGTCTTGTGATAGTTACATACTCTTGTGTCAACTTAAGGGTATTAAGAGTGAAGGGGTGGAGTCTAGGTTTCGATCAGGACACAGCCTGATGATGCCTCCTTGTGGGCATGGCCTTCTCATGAGGATTCTGGGAACTTCTCTTTCTGCCTTCCTCTTCCTGTGAGAAACCACACAGAGACTTGCTGAGCACTGCTTCATCTTCCCGTTGACCAGCCATGTAGAATCATGCTGAGAACTGAGCAAGCCATGTAGCAGAAACCTGCACCAGCCCTGTGCTGCTTCCACCACCATTGGATCCATAAGGTTTTTCACATCAGACTTTTCAACCTGTGATCTTCCAGCATTCTACTGTGTGAGTCTGAAGAGAGATTTATGGACTAGTATCGGACTTAAGGGCTAATATTAAACTTATGATCTGGACTGGGTTGGGATGTTTATTCAATATGCAATTGTTCTTTAATTTGAAGTTCTCTCTTAGACATATATGAGCATCTCTGGATTTATTTTTCTAGTCAAGTTGGTTTAACACAAGTCTTAAAGGCTTGTCTCCAAACAAACAGCCATCCAAGTCAAGTGTCAACTAAGTCCACATGGAAGAAGCACACCATCACCAGTCACCAAAGGTCTATACTCCACATAATCCGAAGTCAAAGGAGGAATCCATATCTGAGCCTAAATTGTGAGACTTCAGTGTGCAGAATGCAATGGATGACAGTGGGAGGCCAAGATACATTTGTGGAATGACATAGGAAATAAGCCTCCACAGAACTCCCCCTATCTAAAATTGAGGGATAGGAGGAAGGTGGTCACTAACCAGTGCTTGGGAGAGATGAGCATAGAGGATCAAAGGCATAAATCTGACCGGAAAAGTTCCAATTTCGTCAGTAGATCCCAGCTATGAGGCAGCCTGGACCTGATCTGGTTTCCAAAATTTTCTGTATTTTGGGTTTGTATTACTCTTTTTGGTTTTTGTTCACCGATAGTAGAGTGTATCTCAGATGTGTCACATCCATGCCGGTCACCCTCATGAAGCTGGGTTATACGCTTTTCTGGTTTTCAGTATATGATACCCAGGATTGATGAACAGCAAATAGAATAAGGGGTCCAGAGGGAAGGGGTACAGTGGTGGAGTGGGGTAAAAAAAAGATGATGCCAAGAAGCCCATGTAGAAAAAGAATGGTTAGAAACGGATAGTAGTAGCAAGGGTACAATTCTACTTGATGTGATTGAAATATGCAGTGGCATATGTATTAAATCCCAATGAATTAAAAAGAAGAAGAAAAATCCTCACACGTGGACCAATGGGTCGGTAGCACCATGAAAAAGGGTTCATTGTCAAGGGTTTCGTCTTGTTGGAGCCACAATCAGTGCTCAGGATCAGCAGTCAAGGGATCAGTGCCACATTGCATTAGGTAAACCTGCTGCACAGACCTCTTGAAAGTAAGGAAAAGTGAAGACGTTCCTTGAGAACCAAGAGACACCGTCCTCAGCTGTGTTATTTTCAATCACTTTGTATGCTTGTGAAAACTGGACTTTGAAAAAGGAAGACCAAAGAAAAACCAATGTATTTGAACTATGCAGAAAAACAGGTTGGGGGGGTGGGGTTGGGAAGATAGTAGGGCAGGTGGTGAGGGGGTGAGAAAAAGAACCTCATAACTGGAGGGTTTAACAGGTTATTGTTATTGATTTCATTGCTTGAGATGGGCTGTGTAAATAGAGATAGTATATTTGCTTTTTTTTAAATCCCTCCCGATTACATATCCCCTTCAACCTAAAGAGTGGTTTGCGTGGCTTATCCGAAGAGAGGAAGGAAAATAAAATTGAGAATGGATCTGGAGACTTCAGTGGCAAACAAGTTCATCTCAAACGAGAAAAAAAAGAACAAACTAAAGATGGCAAGACATATACTCTGGGCACGTTGTCAGCAAAGACCAGACCCTGGGGAAGGACATCGTGCCAGGGACAGTAGAGGGCAGCGAAAGAGGCGGGCCCTCACCGAGATAGACGGCCCAGTGGCTGCAGCGATGGGTTCAAACACAGGAACTATTGTAAGGACGGCGCAGTGTTGTGTTCTACTGGGCACAGGGTCGCTGGGAGTCGGGACCGACTGGCCGGCACCTAACAACCACAAAAAACCCCCCACCCCCACCCCACCCCCCGCGCCCCGTGGTCTTGCATTCTGCGGGCGGCACTGGGTAATGGGGACGGGCTCTTCAGGAGCGCACCATGCGCAGGAGGGCAGTCAGAGGCGGCTTCCCGTGGGTGGGTGGGTGTGAGAGAGGACAAAGCGCTAGGACCACACGTCTCTGCAAAGGGATTGTGCATCTCAAAATGCCTGACGTGATCCAGAAGAACATGTCGTATTTCGTACACAACGAATGCTCACGTGACACAGTTTGCAACTCCCTCGCGTATTACTGTGCTGCGCAGGCCAGGGTTTATTTACGAGGGCAAAGTCTGCTAAACAACCAAAGCTTTCAGCAGGGCTGTGGTCGTTCCATAATCTGTTGTCGATTTGAAAGGATTAAGAGTGAAGGGGTGAAGAAAAAAAAAAAAGTGAAGGGGTGGAGTTTAGCCTGTCAATCAGGTCACAGCTGGATGACTTCATTTGGAGGCGTAAAGGAGATGAGTGGCTCGCTGGGGGGGGCACGGGTAGACTCCTTGGGAGACATTACAGCTGAGAAGCCACATGGAGCTACACTAGTGCCCTGAGCTGGAGAAGCCATGTGGAGATCCACACCAGTGCTGAGATGCTTACACCGCCACTGGATCCACAAGACTTCCAACCCACTGGCCTGTGATCTTCCTGCATTCGGTGTCATTGCATGTGTTGCGTTAGTCTGAAGAGGACTTTATAGATTGGTATTGGGCATAAGGGTTAATATTGGACTTACGGACTTGATCTGGGCTGGGATGTTTTCTCAATATTCAATTGCTATTGTATATAAAGCTCTTTCTTATACACATGTGAGTGTCTAAGAATTTGTTTCTCTAGTCTACCCAGACCAACACACTTACTTTTGCTTTGATTTCCATTTTTAAGATAGAGCCAATGATGGTCATGAGGTCACTGATGATCACCAGGACGTACCACCAATTGATGAACTCCCATTGGTCAGCATCACACACCCGTCGCTGGTACTTCTCCAGGAAGAAACTCCGAAATCTCTGTGGCAAACATGTAAAAAGGGCATTTCTCACAAACCACCCTGCCTTCGGGAAGGAGAAGACAAGCCCTCCTCATATGCGACATCCTCACCTGGTAGGGATTATAGCCCACGTTCCCTGACATCTGTCCTAGCAAGCACAGAGGACGTTAAATAGACTCCCGCTCACGCCTCTCCTTTCTCTCTCTCACTCCCACTGACTCTTGTCAGAATGGCTAACACAGATCATTCCAAACACTTGGCTCGCTCTGCCGGCAGCAGCCCTATGGAGCAGGCACCATCAGCCCTGTCTTCCAGAGGAGGGAGTTGACGCAGAAAAGCCAGAACGCAAACCCAGGCACTCTGTCCCCAGAGTGTGAGCTCCTAATGCTGTCCCAATGCTGACCCCTTCACTGTGGCCAAAACCAAACTCACTGCCAGCAAGTTGAGGCCAACTCATCCACTCTCCGGGACAGGAAGAACTGCTCCTGTGAGCTCTGAGACGCACTCTTTCTGGGAGTAGAAAGTCCCATCTGGTGGTGGAGGGCAGCTGCTGGTTTTGATCTGCTGACCTTGCAGCTGGGGCCATGGCAAGACTCTAAATTAAATCTCGGATTCAGAACATGAAGGACTAGGGGAGATGTGACAAGAGGGGGGCATTTACAAAGTGCGTTCCAATGGTCAAGTTTAAGGAAATCAGAATGTTGACGATTTCACAGCTGCTCTAATGCTCTTCGAACACAGACCCCAGTATGTATATATTCTCCCACCCCTGTCTCTGTCCCTCTGTCACACACGCGCGCGCACACACACACACACACACACACACACACAGCAAACTCCAGAATAAGATCTGTGGGGAGCTAAGAGTATGCTCACAAAGTCCTAAGGGTAAAAAGGTAAAATTAAACTCTAAGGAGAACTTTAAAACTCTTTTAAAAAACAGAATATAGTCTTCTATGCTTCATTATAACCCATTTTCCATCTCTCTCTGTCAAAATTAACCCAATTTGAAGAGAAAAGATGAAACCCACACATGCTATTACTCTGTTCTTAAGATGACTTCTAAATTGAAAGGGTTTCGCTTATTCTAGAAACCTTCCCACCCTGGAGGCTTCACTGCTGTGCACCTGGGCTTATTAGCACCATTTTAGGCTGGGTAATTATCTAATCCCACCTGACATGCGGAAGGGGGGGGGGCATTACTCACTTCCTACACCTCAGGCGAATTAAAGCCTCATTGGGGGGTGAGGTCCATCAGTCAAAGGGACCTCACTTAGTTGAGGGGATCCAGGAAACGGCCCACTACTTGGGCCAACTGAGGGCAGCAAAGGGCAAAAAGGGGAGGAGACAACGACGCACACAGGCACTTACCTTGCGTAAGCGCAAAGCGAGAACGATGGATCTGCTGCACAGAACGAGAGAGGCCAAGCAGATCAGAATGACAAACGCATCGAACACCAGGACGTACTGCGTGTTCTTCTGAGCTGAGGAACAAGAACAGAATCCACACGCTAAACACACCTGACGCAGGAATCATTTCCAAATCAAGGCAGCAGTCTGGCAAGCACTTCAGGGGTACAGGTCTTGGCGGTGGCTAAAGCAAGGACGGTAGAGATCAGCAACCCACCGGCTGCGCTCCAGGGAGAAGTCCCTAACTCAGGTGAAAGCAGTACCTGGGGTGAAGAGTCATACATTTAAAAGCAGAGGAGGTGTTAATAAGCACACTCATTTGGAAACAACAATTTACTGTAGAAGAGAAGTCAACAGAGGGGGCTCCCTTCGGAGTGCGGAAGTACTGGGAGCTTCTTTCCCATGAAAGGCATGGACATTGTGTCTGCTGTTCGTGAGAGGGAACCGTTTAGATCGCTCAGCATCCTGGTTTCCGAGCCTCCAGGCCTCACTGTGCCCTTGCCCAGCAGAGTGCCAGTCTCGGAAGCTTTCCCGGCACCTGGAGAAAGTGACTTCTTGGAATGGGAGTCACGAGGAGCGTGAGAGTGACCCTTAGATGCGGGCTGAGGAATGCCCGGCAGCCGGGAGATGAAACGGTACGCTAGCTCCTTGCAGCCTTCATGCGCAGACGGCGCCCAGCCACAGCTGCTCCCTGCCCGGCCCCTGCCCGGCCACGCAGCAGCACGCCGGCTGCGGTGCCCTCCCCAGCCCCACACTGTGGGCATGCTGGCCGGCTCCTGCTCTGCTCACGCCAGGCTCAGGAACTTGTACACGCTGGTCCCTCTGCCTCCCCCCACCTACACATACGTGTCCTGATCCTTCCTTTCCAGCCTCAGGGTTAAGTTTCAACATGCCCTTCTTCAGAACAGAATTCCCTAAAATTCACACCTCTAGTAGCTCCTTCCTATACTCTGTCCCCGTAGCACTCTGCGTGATTGTACACATCCAAAGCGCCTCTCGTCCGCCTGTTTTGGGGCTGCTGAACCTCTGGGTTGCAGCACCGCACGGGGCGCAGCCACAGGGGAAGGAAACTCAGCAGGACTTGGCCTCTGAAGGGCCACCGTCCAAGTCTTCACCTCGGCTGCGCACACAGAGGCTGTGGAGCCCCAGTGAGGTTGCTGATCCCTCTGCCTCAGTTTCCTGCTTCAGATAAGGGCTGAACAACAAAAGGAAGCAGCGACCTGATATAATGATGGCCAAGATGAAACAAAATCGTAAAGCACTTGGCACACAACAGCAGGGGATACTTAGAACCCCAGCCCCATGTCTCCGAGCCAGCTCAGGGGGGCGCCCACATGGGCCAGACAGAACTGTGCTCCCCAGGGCTTCAGGGAGCGGGGCTTTCGGGAAGCAGATGGCCAGGGCTGTCTTGCAAGGTGGCCTTGGATGAGTGTATACATCCAGCTGTTCGGTCAGCACCCCGCTACTTAGCCATTTGTACCACCCAGGGACCAGCAGGCACTTATGGGGAGTGGGTGGGTATCATTTTATCACTCAATCTGCATTTTCCCCAGATGATTAGCTCTGTGAAGCAGAGGCTTTGTGCATTGTATTAAAAACGATGTGCTTAGTACAACGCCACAGTGTGTTTATAAATGAACGGGAGAATCAGCAGGACAGGGGGAGACCACTGAATGATCCCAGTTAGAGCCAAGCCTGAGCTAAGTTTCAGGCAGGCGGGTGAAAAAGGAAAAGGCCCGGATCATGACAGAGGGAGGAGGCAGAATCACAACCTGGTCTGGGCATTCACGGGGACAGAGGCAGACGTGGGAAGTGTCCGTCTACAGATACAGAGGTGGCTGACAGAGCCAGAGAGAGGAGAGCAACGGGAATGACCTTGGGGACAGCCACGCTTCAGAACGACAGAGATGCGCTCAAGGGCTAGGCTGAGAGCAAAGGCCAGAGGGAGGAGGAAACCCTCGGTGGAGACCCACAGTGGGAAGGCTCCAGCGACACCTGCTGGAGAAAAGGCGAATCAAGGGGCTGAAGAATGGTGAGTGCATGGGTGGTATTGGAGTGTGTCGGGGACGCTGAGGGACAGCAGCACAGCCATGTCACTCACTGAGCAGGTCATCGAACCTTGCTAAGCTTCCGCCTCCTCAGCTACAAAATGGGGAGGAAAAACATGACAGTGCCTGCTGCATGGGACTGTTCTGAGAATGTCTGTACTGTAAGGTGCTTACTAGAGGCAGGGCTGGCACCTACACTTGTATTCAAACAACCAAAAATGACACCAGCTGCCACTGAGTCAGTACCGGCTCAAAGCGACTTTGTAGGACAGGGAGAATTAAACTGAGTTTCTGAGACTGTAACTCTTTGCGAAAGCAGAAAACCCCGTCTCTCTCCAGGACTGGCTGTCCTTTCAAACTGCCGAACTTGCAAATAGCAGCCCAACGAGGGATCACTATGACTTACATTTACCCTTAGCCACATCATCATCAAGCGCCGTGACACCAAGATGCCAGCTCACGAGGAGAGAGCAGCATTGCTCATGTTGCTAACTGGGGTCGAGCAGGAGCAGGTGAGCAAACGGCTGAATCCTTTCTCTAACTCCTTGTATGGATGAGAGGGAGCAGGAAGTACTTCATGAAGCGGGGTCGAGGGAATAAGGGATGTTCTTAGACTGTCCCAACGAACAGAGAATCCAAAATAGAATTGAGACCGTATGAAAGGCAAGGACCATGTCAGGCACCCTCCATTCCAACCTATAGGTGGAAGGAATTCTCTGTAGGACTGTTCAGACTGGGGTTTGTGAGTGTGGATGCCCTGGAGTGAATTCCACTGCACACCGACCTCCGTACAACAGAATAACAGTGCCGAGTCGTCCCCCACCATCCTCACGGTCGTTCATTCGTGTGGTTGAGACCACTCTTAAACCACCGTCTCAATCCACCTTCCTCTTCCTCGCTGACCTATTACTTCTTTTCCAGGGATTGGTCCCTCTTCCTAACTCGCCCAAAGTACTTGAGATGCAGTCTCATCATCCTCACTTCCACGGAGTAGTTGGACAGTACTTCTCCCCGAGGCAGATTTACTTATTCTTCACAGCCATCAGTTCTTCTTCAGTCTACCTCAGCCACTGTCTGTGCACATGAGACAAAAACACCAGGCCTTGGGCGAGGTGTGCCTAGTCTTCTCCGTGACCTCTTTGCTTTTTCATCCTTTAAAGAGGACGTTTGCAACAGGTTTGCCCAAGGCAATGTGCTGTTTGATATTCCTTCTGCTGCTTCTGTGGCCGTGGTTGTGGGTCCAAGTCGAACGAGAACCCTGGCAACCTCAATTTCCACTCCCTCTCCCGTGTTGCTGCTTGTGGGTCCCCTTGTGCTCTGTGGAGGTATAATCCATATTGAAGTCTACGATCTTCAGTAAACACTCTAAGGCCTTTCGGCTTTCAGCAAGCAAGGCTGGGCCATCTGCATATCCAGGGCTGTTAATGAGTCTTCTGTGAATTTTGATGGAAAAAACTGAAGGCCAAACAGAGAATCCACTATAGAATTATTTTTCTATTACTTATTGAGGGGATGTCTTTGGTGGCCCAAAACAAGTATTTTGGTGAAAATTGGAATTGCTTTCTTAAGCTGTTTAAACCTGACAGAGCATTTCTGAAACTGGGTTTGTCAAAGCCTAGTCTCCCTGCTAATCTGGTTGGAGAATTCCTGCACACCATCCAGTCCTGCCCGGGCTCTAGAATTATACACACACCACCAGCTCACCTCTGTATTAGAACTCAGTTTTCCAAGCACACCTAAGGGCACCCAAACTCCTTTCTCCATCATACCTGCTTACATCTCCCATCAAAGGAGATTCCTACCCACCCATGCCTGCCTGAGGCCCGAGGCCCCAACGTTCTCTAAATTAGTTCCTCTAAGTTAAAGTGAAGATTGGGGACACTCCCGGAGCTGGGTAACGGCAATCACAGAAGAAATATGCAGTCTGTGTGTGGAAACGGGCACCCTCGGCCTTCACCTTCAGAAGGCATGAGTCACGGCAAGGAGAAAGATGTCCAGGGTGAAGCACGTGGTTGTGCATGGACATCAGCCTTTATACAAATAGCTCATCTCCGGATGCTTCCCTTGCCCAACTTCCCCCTTCCCTTCTCTCAATTGCCCCCAAAGCCGGGCAAATCCATTCACTCACCTCATGGCTTGATGGGGGTGGGGGCCCCCTTTCCTATGTTGGTTTCTGAACTTCAGATTTGTAGGCTTTCACAGCATCACCAGTTATTTACCTCTGTATTTGCCTAGTGACGGACTCAGGTTTCTGAGGCTGTCGCTCTGAGAGGTGCTTATGTCAAGACTACTGAGCCCCGTGAGGTCTGTTTCTACCAACGAGCCACAGGAGGGAGCCAGCGTTCCTCTCTTCAGCGTGCGCCCCTCCACGAAGTCCACGGACTCTTAGAGACCCTGCAAGCCTGTGGGGAGACGCAGCGTTCTGACAGGACTGGCTGACTGTCCGTCACTTTGATCTTCGTAATGGCTATTCCAAACCACATCTCCTACGTGTCTCATTGTGTTTGAACACAAAGCACATTCTGTGTACACTCATGTAACCAAACCAGGTGTTCAAGAACTAAACCCTGCTGGCCTGGCTTCCCCACCAGCTTCTGCGACAATCTATGCTTGCAAAGTGTGTGTGTGTGTGTGTGTGTGTGTGTGTGTGTGTGTGTGTGCTCAGAGACAGACAGACTCTAGCCTTCTGTTGCTGGGGACAAGTGCCATTTCTAAACAGAATGACAACTGTTTTCTGATCAGTGTCTCAAGTCAGTTAATACTGAAACTACAACTTAAAAGCAGCCAGACACAAATCAAACATAGTTCTTTATTCCCATCTAAAATAATTGGAAATGTCAAGTATTTTACCATTTTGTTGTAATCATCTGAGTAAAGGTAAACTCAATTAAAACTAGAGGTATATCATTAAAATTATGTGTAAATCTGTAATATATTAATCCTCCTCCTCCTCATCAAGAGCCTTCACTGAGGAAATGAGACAGTTGCTATACAGCCCACGTGTGTGGAGTCAGGTGCTCTGCAGCATAATGACGGAACGCGCCACACAGGCGGCCCTCTCTGTGCTGGAGGGCCGCAAACCTCCACTGTCCATGGTTCAGCTCAAAGCCTGCGAGCATCGTTCCCCAGTTAATATTCACCTCTGCTTCCTACGCCCTCATCCCTTTCTATCTCCACCACTTATTCCTATACCACCCAACAGAATTTACATGTCAGTCTCCCTCATGGAGGGACTTTTCTCTGTTTCCATATTGCCTACAAATTAATATGCACTAACCCTTGTTCTCAGCACTTTACATACTAACTCAGCTAACAAAACATCATGGTAGGAGCAGCCTGGGTGATGCAATGATTAAATGCTGGCTGATCACTGAAAGGTTGGCAGCTCAAACCCGTGTGTGAGGAAAGACCTGATGATCTGCTCCCATAACGATTATAGCCTTGGAAACCCTCTGGGGGAGTTCCATTGATCCTATATTCTAATATGTCTTTTAGTACAGACAGAGTGTGAAGCCCTTACCTGACTCTCCCCGACTTCACAGAGGGAAGGAGAATGGAACATCATTATTGGTCCAAGGCTGATCAGCCCAAGGCTACTTCTCAGAGGCTAGGAGGCAGAGGTCAGAAACACCATCACCCTCTAACCTCCTTTCCCTATTCTGATGACCAAGCCTTCTACCTAGGTCACTCTACTCTTCTACTGGGTTTGATGGTCCACTTAGAATTCAGAGACAACACAACACTCACAAGTTTGATGTTTCTTAGAGAAGGTAACATTTACAAGTCAGGATCAGAAATGTTAAGAAGATAGTTCTTTAGTCTGTAGCTGCACTCTCTGGTCCTTGGACTCTCTGCCACACAGACCCTTGGCCCCTGCCCTGGCTGGGTGAGTATGACCGAGATTCTCTGAGAGCTAGGGCCCTCAAGTTTAGTCCAACTCATGGCTCCCCTGAAGGGCAGAGTGGATTGCTCCCTAGCCCCAGGATGTCCAAGGCTGTAAATCTGAACAGGAACAGAAAGCTTCATCTTAACCCCCTCCAGACCCCTCCCCTCCCCATCCTCCCACCCCTGGCTGCCCTGCAGAGCCCCATTCATGTTTGTAAACTCCCAAAGGGCATTCCATTCGGCCATTCAAGCCAGCCTCCTCGGCAGAGGCACTCAGCTTTGCTCACTCTGTGGACTGGGAAGCCCACTGCCCTGTCCCGTGGTCTTGGTGCTATGGCCTCTCCTGCCGCCACCACTTCTCCACACACGGCTCTTAGATGTGCTCTGCTTGTGGCTATGGTTTCTTGGCAGTGGTGAGATCTTTCCATTCCTGCTTCTGAGGTGGCACCCCTTACACCCAGCAGAATAGCAGAACTGACCAATCCCCATATTAGAGCCCCACATGCCTTATTTGCATGTGTCCACCCAGGCATTTGATGGGAATTTAAAAGACTATGGATAGAAGAGCCCTAGCAACTGTGCCACACACAGGGTCACATACTATGTGTTGGCATTTTCTCACAGGCACCCAACAAGGACAGCAGCCTTGGAAAGTAAGTGCGGTGATTATTCTGATTTTCAGAGAAAAGATACTAAGATTCAGAGAGGCAATGTATGTTGTCCAGGCTTACGAGTATGGTAAACAGAGCCTGCACGTGGGTGCAGGCAGTCTGGCTGGCGAGCCCAAGTTCCTAACCACGGAGCCCTGCTGCTCGCATATGAGGAGCAAAATACGCATCTGCTGCAGTGAATGAGAAAGCAAGTTTGGGGCTATGTTTTATGGAATCTAATGTTCAAAACACGGTTTTCTGGCATCCTTTGTGTTACTACTCAAGCCACTTGAAACATACAAGTCCTAAGGCAGCATGGTGGAAACCATCCATTACGCATGATGGACAAGCATCTCGCATACTTACTAGATCCAGATATGTTCAGGACTTTGCATTCTTCGATGTTGGCATCACTGTCAAAATATATTTTGATTTTGCCACTGTGAGCTCTATTGTCATAGATGATCTGGAGACACAAGGGTATGGAGAGGTTACAACGCAGTAGAATATTTACATCAACTGTTGCTTAAGAAATAGTAATTTTTTATAACATCCAAACAGCTTGCTGCCCCAAAGCATTATGCAAATTAAAATGTCTCATCATATGATTTCTCCACAATTTTCGATTAGGAATGAAGAATGGATATCTGTTACAAAGGGTCAGCACAAGAAGTTCTGCTAAACCCATGACTTCATCTCTCTGGTTCAGAAAAACGCTAACACAAGACCAGTTCCAGAACCGAGATGCTGGTTCCACCAAGGCTGACCAGAAAGCGCAATGACACCGTGCGTCACCAAATGAAATTCAGAAGCGTTTGCTTCCATGTAGGCCTCGGGGTGTCAAACTCCAGGGTTTCACTCGCGGGAAACTACTGCTCTGTTTGTTTCTACAGCTCCATGCAGTGGTCTCAGAAACAGAGACTGCTGCACAGAGCCCTGTTCACTTTAAGGTTTCCAAATGCCCCAAATCTTCCACATTGCTTGTCGATCATGTAAAGTTTGTCAGTGATATATGTCAAAGAGTGTTGAGGGTGAACACATTTGAAATCCAAAAAAAGAAAGTGCAGGCAGAAATGCTTGGGGGAGCTCAGCGACTAGGTCATCGGTGGGCCAGCCAGCTGTGCCCGAGTGTCCTTGTACATACAGCACATTCTGGGTGTTCACCAAGACGAGCATTTCAATCAAGCCAGGAGTTCAGAAACTAAACCATGCAGCTCTCGTGTCTGTACCTGTACACTATGATGAAACCCCCAGTACCCTGGATGTTCAAGATCGCTCATTCCCCAAGGAGAAGCCCTAAAGTATTTCTCTCAAGCCTGTACTGCCTTGACGCAGAAACCAGAAGCCCAAATACCCCCAAATCCACTGCCAGTCAGTTGATTCCCACTCTTGGCAGGGAACTCCCTGGAGGACTGGGTAGAAATGCCCCATAGAGGATTCTTGGCTGTAACCATTATGGAAGCAGATCACCAGGCCTTTCTTCTGTGGTGCCACTGGGTGGGTCCCAACCACCAACCTTCCGGTTAGTGGTCAAATGCCACCCAGAAAACATCCTAAAGAAAATCGGAAAGGAACATACAAAAACTGGTGGTTAAAACCCTACCCCTCGTCTACCTCAATCCTGGTCCATCCAGACCCTTCCTGCTCCTTTGGTGGCCCCAGGGCAAGTCATCACGCTGATCTTGGCTGACGTCGGTTTTCATTTCCCTAGAAGCCCTGGTGGTGGTGTGGGTTGCACACGCCAAGGTCAGCTGTTCAAACCTACCAGCTGCTCCAAGGGAGAAAGACGAGGCATTCTGCTCCCATCAAGAGTCCCAGTTTGGAAACCCATAGGGGCAGGCTGCTCCTTGTTGATGAGCTGGAACTG